GCCTGCGGCCATTTCGACCAGCTCATGTTCTGGCACTTGTGTAAAACATCTCGCCTTAAGCAACCTAAACCTATTCAGATATTCGTCTATAGGTTCAGTGAAACGTCTCTTCACACTCGCCAGTTCTTTCAGGCTTATCTTGGTTTGCCCCATATAGAATTGTTCATGGAACAATCTTTCCAACTGGGTCCAATGGTGGATCGAATTGGGGGGTAAAGTTGTGAACCAAGTAAAAGCGTTCTTGGTTAAGGAACTTGGGAAGTATTTGATCCTCAGGTTTTCATTATTTGAAATGTCTCCTGCTTCGATCAAATACCTCGCCACATGTTCGACAGTGGATTCTGTCGTGTCCCCAGAAAACTTAGTAAATTTGGGGACTTTGCTCCTAGGAGGTAGATCCGTTTGTAATACATATTATGACAATGGAGAGGTAAAGTTGGGCCTTCGAAAGCCCATGTTCATTCCATTCTGATTCATGATCCTTTCGATCATGGTTGCCAGATTATTTTCTAAACCCATGTTTTGGTGTTGGATATGCTGAACCACTTCGTCAGCATTTTGGTTTCTGTTAACTAACCTTACCTCTGGGGCTATTACCCTAGGTTCTTCGACAGGTTGTTCTACAGGCTGTTGAGCCTGATTAATGGTGGTTTCTTCCTCTACAAATATCCCCTGATTTCCTCTTGTTTGCGCCCTTTGGGGCTGTCGAATAGGTGGGGGTACCCCAAAGAAGTCAGCCAAACGCGTCATTTGCGCTGTAACTTGCTGATTCGATTGAGTAGTATTTTGTATTAGAGGATTTAGCACTGTACTCAAAGTTTGTGCCAACATTTGCACCATATCATGGTTGCTTTCGTCCATCTGTTGCCTCAAGACTGCTGTCGAGGCGTTTGTAAGGCCATGGGCTACTTGGGACGTTCCTCCTAAGAGTTGGGTCCTATTTCTATTCGCCATGCCTACTCCAGAGCCTTGGAGTGGCGAAGAGGCACTCACGAAAGGATCTGAATAAGTGGACGCAGCATTCGTCAGGCTTGCCACTTCAGAAGTTGGCATACCATAGAATGGAATAAATCCTGGGGGAACCACAGGCCTTGTGCCTATATTTCCCCTTGGAGGGGGAGTTCCCAAAGGTATTCTGGGGCCTGAAAACGAAGTTATTGGCCCCGTGGTTGTGATTGACACTGCTGGTGTCGAACCAACGTTCGTCGCTTCACTCACGGTCATATTAACCGTTGCTCCCACACTCGTTTGTGGGATTTCATTATTGTTTGGCGGATTCGCCATCTCTTCCCTTCTTCTGGCAGTATTGTTATCGTTAGTGTATATTCTACCACTCCTCAATAACATACAACTCGAAAAGATGAGATTATTTTTCAACAATCAACACACAGTCCCACCGGGTGTGCCAATTTGTTTACCTTGGGTTTTGGTAAACAACCGCTGATCCTCCAAATGGTTACTTATTTGGTTACTCGCAGGATCGATCAGATTGATCCTATGGACATAGGTTGATTTTGAAGTTTGATTAAGGTGGATAAGGCTTTAAGTAAAATGTTTCAAGTAAATTGCATAAAGGAAAGGCTTGGTAAAATAAACAAGGCTTTAAAGTAAAGGTTCGACAGGAATTTAAAGGAGAAAAGCAAGTAAAGTACTGGAAAGGTAAATGACTTTAATTGATAAAAATTGGTGTTTCACACATACATTTCTCAACAATTCTTTCGCTCACACTGGGTACTTGAATCTAAATGAGTGACTATGTATCTGTTTGTGAACACACGCGAGAAACTACATGTCTACTCCTATTTATACTAAAACATCCAAGTAACTGTCGGGCAGTTATGCTGCTTCGAGATTAAGCCACTTGGCACGTTCTCCATGCTCGACGCTCCAGATCCTTGCACGTTTGCACGTAGTAACTGCTGGAAACCGTTTTCCCTCCAAAGCTTTGAATTTCAAACTGCTCCACTCTGGACCATCGAACACTTTCATCAGGAAGCGTCTTCGACGAAAACTTCTTCGACGTCGAAGGCAATCAGCCTTTTTCTTGGAAGAAATCTTCTAAGTATTTTGCCATCTTTCGACGGGCACTTCGACAGGCTTAGCCAGTCGAAAGCATCTTTCAGCTTTTAATGGCTGCCATCAATCAAAACAAAGGTGTCGAATTTAGGAGCCAACAACATCAAAGATCAATTGAGGAAAATTGAATTTTTGGAGATAACTGTCTTGAAACCACCGTCTCAACCAGTTAAGACAAAAGGAGCACCGAAAAAGGTCAAACCTACACTAAGTGAAAATTCTACTATGAGGAGCCCATCGTATTTTGAACACGTTGACAAACTTTTTCCCGATTCACCGACACTGAAATCTCAGAAAAAGGTCTTCAAATATGCTCGCATAAGCAAACCTCCAACTCCACTGCCTCCACCAAAAATACTATTCATTAAGGAGATGCTGATTTTTATGCACAATCACATTGATCGGATCGTCAATGTTAATGGTGACGATAATTGTGGTTTTCAGGCTATTTCTGCTTTACTCGATAAAGTGGAAGAGGATCACACACTTGTCTGCCAAACTCTTATCCAAGAGTTAAGGAGCCATAAATATTTGTGCACACGAGTGTACGGGGATAAGAATAAGTTTGAAGAAATCTATAATGCTCTTGTACCATCCATGGAAGCATTTGCACCAGAGAACAAATGGATGTGTTTCCCTAAGACGGGTCATCTCATTGCAAGTGCGTATGAGAGGGTGTGTATTAATCTTACAAGATACGGTTTCTCGGAAACTTTTTTCCCATTGCGCACTACTCCAACATCTAATTCCACTAATCATATCATTTGTGTTGGGTGGATTTCAAATCCCTGACATTTTGTTCAAGTGTATTTGAAACAGGGATACCATATACCATCTACATCACCAAAGTGGGTGAATCATTATACACACTAATTTGAGACTTGATCAAATCGGTTTATTGAAAGGATGCAAGAGTACACCAAGTTGAAGAACACTGGAATTGCAAAAAACAAGGAAAAATCAAAGGGTGTACCACTTGTGGATTTGTCGAGAGACAATTACTTCGGATCTTTTAAGTAGTTAAATATGACTTTCATGTATATGTCTTTTTGTTAATGAATTATGACATAGAATATTCCTACTTTGGTAGTTATGAAATCTATTATTATATTTTTATGCAATATGCTCTTTCTATTATTTCTCTGTTTCTGGTTTTTAGTACCAGGGACTTTACCGACAATGTACTTCCGGTTTTCAAGTTAAGGTATAACCGGAAATACATTTCTGATTTTTATTCTGTCAGCAGATAGGATGTGTGTGGTCCATAACATCCTCAAACTACTATATAAAAAACTCATTTATGTCCCTCATGTTATCTCATGTCTAAACACTAAAACGAAAAATGAATATCGTTTGGTATGTTGGAAAAGTTCACTTCGTTACCGGGGATCTAACATCAAGGGAATTCAAGACCAACATGTACGAACTGCTTGAAGATCTTCATTACACAATACGGGAACTTTTACCATTTAGCGACAATCGAAATTTTTTGAAGATTGAGTACCGCTCTCCATCCATTAACAACGACAAAAAGCTTGAGTTCATCAACAAAGAGATACATACAAGCACTGATTTACGGGGTATGTGGGAAACCTTTTTCGATTACGACGAAAAAGTTCAAATCGAGCTTGATGTAATGATTACAAGAACGACCGATGAAATTTTGAAGTTGTTGCAACGTTTACCCAGATGTTGAAGTGTAATGTTGCATATATGTTTAAATCCTATATGTATTGCTTAGTTTATGTAATTTTATATTTTGTTTGGGAATCTTGATGTAATGTGTAAGTGCTACTTTCCTGCGTTCTGTAATGAAAAATGCTTGAAATACACTTTCGATTATAAATCGAATATGTATTTCTGATTTTGGTTCTTTTTAATTAGATATTGATGCGTTCCGAAAATACATTTCCGATTCCTGAAAGCATTTTTGAAAACTCACAATAGTGCCTAAGAAACACATAGGTTGCATTAAGAAATTCTCTATATTTAAAGTATATATGAGCCAATTGGTTCTCAACATGACCAAACAAACATCATTGTCTACAACCAATAATCAAGGCAACAAACTATCAATGACTGAATATTATAAATGTGTTGTGCTATCGGAAGTGTATTTTTGGTAATTTCTAGAAGTGAATTTCTGAAATAAAATTTGTAATCTCAAAAATGAATGAATATGTGTGTAAGGTACGTACTAGAAATATATATCTGATTTTTAGAATTTTTTTTAGAATTTCCCGTTGTGGACTAAAAAATTATAAGATGAAGAAAGAAATCTTCAATGTTAAATATCTAAGTTGGACCAATATTATTATTTTTATGATATTGATCAAAATTAGATATTTAGAGTTAAAAGTTAACTGAAATCACTAACTTGACAACAAATGCATATTTAACAACCTTAAAAATAATAACAGTTAATTATTGAATTAAAATAAAACTAATAAATGAAATTAATTAAACCTAAGTTGATAATCATTTCTCTTTTTCTATCAAATAAAAGAACAGATCTCTTCCAACTAACTTAATTAAAGGTCATGGATTCGATCACTTGCACGCAGAGGAGATAGAAAAGATAAAGAAACCATAATTTTTATGGTGTTGTTTTTTTTCTCCCTTAAACCAAAACCAGCTCATTTAATTGTAAATATTACACTAATATAACTAAAAATACAATAGAATTGTTGTGAAAAAAATATAACTGCTATTATACAAACAAGAACTGTTGGGTTGGAGATGGAAATGGATAAAATAGTAATAGAAAAATTGATCTCCAATGGTAAATTGAGTACAATATCTCAAGATAACCATCGTATGCGAGATTACAAATTGTGGATGACTTGCAACACAAGGATTTTCAAAACAAAACAAACAGTTTTTTATTTACAAAGACAACGGTAATTTTATATATTGACAATAATTTACTCGCTCGAATTTGCTAGTCCTACCATATTGAGCATATGCCGGTCTTCCTTAAACCTCTCGAGTACAGTTCCCTTAACACCATCATTCTTGTTTTGTACACCTTGAGTCACTCCCCAGCATTCTATTGTTTCAGGTATTATCCTATTGGTTTTGGAGAGGCAGGGGTTACCAAATGTTGAACATGAAAATGTATGTCCTTGATCAAAGTTTGCTGAGATGAATAATCCTAAGTGATTTACTTTTCCTCCAAAACCAATGCCATTTGGAATGTCCTCTGAACTGAAGTTGACAGCACACTGGAAGACATGGAAATTCAGCAGTCAAATTAAAAGACAATGAGAATTATAAAATGAATAGTCTAATAAGAGAGATAGAGATAAACACAAAACATGTCGCATACTGTGTTTATATTTTGATGTTAACATGTCGCATACTGTGTTTATATTTTGATGTTAACATATTAGGATAGACTGATAGAACCCGCAAGTTATGAATATGGAAACCTGTGTATTTATTTATCAATTGATTCAGCAACAAAGCTTACAATCAAAAAAGGACCAACCAGAGAGTCATAGACTTCTACAAGAGAGACATTATGTCCTAACAAACTTTTGCAGCCAAAAGCATAATTCCCTTCACCTAGCTCTCCCTCATAAAACTAAATCCCCAAGAATATAGAAATATCACTAACTCTCATTCCTCCTTTTTTTTCCTCCTCTCTTCCCTCTAGAATACAGTGCAGGTACTCTGATAGAACATTGAGTTCTCATAGGTGTGATGACCTAATCATTGGCCTGGATCCACATCAGTACAACTTCTAGAAGTTTATAGAAGTTGTGAGAATAAGAGTCAGTTAGAATATTCCCTGAGTTTAAGGCATTTCTGTTATAAGAGAGAAGGAGGGGAAGTTGAGAGGCGTTCAGAAAGTTTGTTAGGAGAGTTACTCTCTGGTTTATGAGTTCATAGAACTCTGGTTTATCATTTTCTTTCTGCATTTCAAGCATTGTAAGAACTTTAAGCTCAACCATTTGCTATTAATCATGGATTTGGATCCTCTACTGCTGTTTTGATTCAGCCCTCTCCCCTTTCCAATCCACTGGTGGATTATCACACTAACCAAAAACTAATAGTACAAAGGAGAGAATAATGGTTGATAATAGGGCTGATGGAAACATGAGACAGATGACATGAGAGGATCCAAATCCATTAATCATATACTTTATTAACTGTATTGAGAAAATTTGTTTGGTGAGTTACTCTCTGGTTTAGGAGTTCATAGAACTCTGGTTTAACCTTTTCTTTCTGCATTTCCAGCAGTACAGAGTTTTAGGGGCTGTTTCAGAGTTGGTTTTTGGAGAGTTTTGGAGGGGAAGGCTTTGGAGAGTTGCGTCTGTATTTTGAAATATATTTGATATTTTTTTAAAATTTTAAAAACAATTTATTACATTAGAATATAAAATCATATTGTTTTTTAAACTTTTAAAAATATCAAACACATTTCAAAATATAGACGCAACCCTCTAAAGTCTTCCCCTCCAAAACCCTCTAAAAACCAACTCCCAAACAGCCCCTTAAGCTCAAGCATTTGCTATTTATTAATCATGCACTTTGTTACCTGTAAATTCTGGTTCCTATCATTGGTCAGACCTGTCAGATTCATCGAGGAGAGCCACTAAATCAAAGGAAAGAAAAAGCGATAAAATCCATTCAAGGAATTGAAAGATCTTCAACAAACAGGAGAGGTGGAGGAATATAACTGCTTTTGAATATGTATCTTCACACGTTCGTGGACTCCCTGAAGAACAATACCCAGGGTATTTTCTGGGAGGTCTCAAGCCTAAAATGCACGAGGGTGAGAACTTTCAATCATCAAAAACAAATCTAGAGCATGAAACTCGCTAGGGACGTGGAAGTGGAAGGTGGTGTCACAGAATTTGAAGTGGAAAGGAGAAAGGTGGAAACATGGTTAATTCTGGGTCAGGTGTAAGAGATACTAAGGGGCCTGGTTATAACCTGGGCTCAACTTGTTGGAAATTTGAATGTGGGCTAATAGGAACTCTCAACCCAAAGAGGGTCGAAATAATGGGAACCCTAATTAAAGTCCCTCCTAAATTCTAACACGTCATGCTCGACCAGAGATGAAGAGCTTAAGGATCGCAAATCTCACGGCCTCTACTTCAAATGTGGGGAATGCTACCACCCACCCCACCAGTGTACTGAAACACAACTATGCTTAGTGATTTTGCATCATGACGAACGAAACAATAAACAAAGGAGAGGTAATTGCCATGAAACTGAACGCTAAGGAAGACGAAGTTGTGCAGTGTACAAGCCCGAGTCTCCTGGACTTGAACCATGTGGGCTCTCTTCAAAAGGTTAGACCCACTACCTTGAGATTAACAGGAAGCTTGAATGGTGTTTCAATTTTGGTTTTGGTGGATACCAGAGCTAGACACAATTTCATATCTCCTTAAATGGTGGCATCCTTGCAACTACCCGTAAACCCAAGTCAGACAACAAGCGTGAAACTAAGGAACAAGGTTTGCCCTACGACCGGGGGTGAATGTATCAGGCTGGATGTTCAATTGAGTAATTTTTCCACCATGATTGAGGCCTATGTGTTAGAGCTAGAGGACATGTAGATGACTTTGGGAGTGAATTGGTTGCAGAAGCTAGGCAAAGTGATGTTTGTTGGGGAAAAGATGGTCATTCATTTTGATTCGAAGGGTGAATCAGTGAAGCTACAGGGTCAAAGAAAGGTTGAGACATTCACAAAGATTGTTAGGAGAGATACTTTCTGGTTTGGGAGCTTTGCTCTAGTTTTGGAGTTCATAGAATTCTGTTTTTTTTTTCCATTTATTTGAAAGGCTAGAATTCTGGTTTATCCTTTTCTTGCTGCATTTCCAGCAATCATACACTTTGTTACCTGTAAATTCTAGTTCCTAACATACTTCCTAGGAAAATTCAGTGTGTGTACTCCCTATGTCTCCAAATACTAGCAAAAATTGGTCAAAGAAAGGTGATGTATTTGGAACACAATTTGATCCAAATACATCCCACTTTTTTTTTTTAATCTACTTTTACTTATATCATTCAATGTAGCCAGGAATTCTCAATTATGTGTGATTTTATTTCATGACATGGTAATAGATTTAAACCACCATATTATCATGACTTTAGAGTGAGCTTGTTATACTCAGAAGTGAAGTTGACAAACAATGCTTTAGTAGAAGATGGAAAGGAATGAAAGACAATTAGTTGTACCATAATGAAAGATGGATGTCCTGATATGAGGGCGAGGACAACATAGTGAAGTTGACAAACAATGCTTTAGTAGAAAATAGAAAGGAATGAAAGACAATTAGTTGTAGCATAATGAAAGATGAATGTCCTGATATGAGGGCGAGGACAACTACACTTTTGAAGTATCCAATATATCAGAAACAACTAACTCACTCTTTAAAATAATAAATGCAGTTGTTTAACAGATTGGAGAAAAAAATGTCATTCAAAACTACAAGGTTGCTGGTAAGATGTTAATGCAAAAGATGAAAAAATTGTATTGGAAAATTTGTGGAGCATGCTGTCTTGATTTGGTGCTCTAAAACTTAGAGAAGAAGATAGTAGTTCATGTAGAGAAAATTTTATAAAGTATTAAAATTGCAAAGTCTTATATATTCCAAAACTTATCTAGTTTCTATTTTGCATCTTTCAAAAAATATAGCAAACAAGAAATGAGAGAGATGTGAAATAAATAAAAGTTGTAATTTTTTTTCCTTTGGAATTGCTTCTCCATGGTATCTTCTTTTCGAAGTTTTCTATAATCAAATCAAGACACTATGTTGCACCAATTTTCCATTACAATTTTTTCCTCTTTTGCTTCAACATCTCACCAGCAACATCGTAGTTTGTTGCATTGTTTGTCACGAATTGAATGACATTTTCTTCTTCAACCACTAAAACAAATGCATCTATCATCTCAAAGAGTTTCTCGTGTGTTTGGATATGTTGATGCGTCGAGAGGCCAAAATGCAATACCTCTGGACTATTCACCAAAAAGTTCAAAATTGTCCTTGTCATTCTATAACCAATTGTCTTCCATTCCTTTCTAATTTCTTCCAAAGCATCATTTGTCAATTTTACCTCTTGGTTTAATAATTTCACTCTATAGTCTAGATAAGACGGTGGCTTAAATCCAAAGTTATCGATAGCGGCCAATAGCGGCTTGGAGCGGGGCACTTCCCGGCCCGAGCGGGTTTGAACTATTTTGAACGCGAAAACCCAGATTTACCCTTAAAATAAATAAATTTCGTTTCATTTTACATTTATTTTTCACTACCTATGTTTTTTTAAGTAATAGTTATTTAATAACTCTATTCCTCTTCTTACTCTTCTATTTGTTTGATTTTACATTAAACATATGTTTTATAGATTATTCATATAATTAGTCTAAAAAATAGTCAAATAGCGGTTATCCCATAATCCGCTATTTCACTTTTGGGGTGGGCCGCTCCGCTATCTGAGATCGATAACTCTGCTTAAATCCATTACTATGTCATGAAATAAAATCACATGTAATGTAGAACTCAACACTCCTTGCTACATTGAATGATATACATTGTTGTAAAAAAAACTTGGCAATTGCTTGAAATGCATCTCTCAGTCTCTTCTCTAAAATTGGACTCGTGGTAGGTTTTGAGCCGAAACTCCTCTTCTTAAATATGTTTCCTTAACTATTATTGTGTCTTGTTCATTCTTTTTTCACCAACCTCAGTAATCTCCTCTTCCACGTGAGTGTTTGTTTTCTTGATCAAATTTTCTTTCAAACTAGCAAAAATTTTCAACATCTCCTTATTGACTTCATCTCGGACATCATTACATGGTTCCACAATGTTTGAGTTTCTTGACTTTATCTCGGACTACCTTACTTGGTCCCACAAATTTTTTGAACTCCAACCAAGTGATGCTTTAGCCTGTAAGCACCTCCAGTTATAATTTTTTTGACAATACTTGCACTGTATATTTCTAGGACTATCAGGAGCTGCAACACCATGTTTCCAGGCTGCACCACTTCTATTACCAGCAGCAATTTTTGGTAATACTTTATGTCATGGTGCACTTGCAGAGGGAGCAGAGATAGCAACAACAACAAAAGTTCCAATAACAGACCTTGAAGCCATGGATTAATGATGTGGCAATAGTTACGGAGCAATACAGAGAATAAAGGGAATGGATCAAAGGGAGTATAGAAAAAGCAAACAGAAAGAAAGGTTGCACACGATGGAAGGCAAGGCAGCAGAAAACTGAAAGAATATAAAAACATAGGAGAAGAGAATATTTATCGTGAATACTCGAGTGATAGAGGGATTGCAATGAATCTTTGAGTATTGGGAAGCTTTCCACAAATTAATAGACTTAGTGGGTGCATGGGAAAGGTTTACTAAAATTAATTGGAATAATGGGTCAGAAAGTAACCATCACCATTTACAGAAAACCAAAAATGTTGTTTTTTACCAAACTGGGTCAATATCCCAGCTGCTCCCACCAATATCCGATTCAGGCCACTCACGAACATGTCAAAGGGAGGCAAGATCGTGGAAGCGTACAATTCTACGGTCCATACCCCAATTTTGTCTACTATGACTCCTACGAGAGTCAAATGGATAATTCCCATCACCACCTAGCCTCTCTAATATAACCGAATCCCGAGTAATCTAGGAACACCTTACCAACTTACTCTCATTCGCTTCTTTTATCTCTCTTCCTTCTAGAACAATTTTCCAAGTAACGGGCCTCTTTGGACCCAAGTATAATGTTATACCCCAAAATTTGCCCTCCCATATTCCTCAAGAAATTGCCAAGCCAAGCTACAAAATTCCCCAAGGGTTGTGCAGTGCAACAGTCTCCTAAACAGTCCAAATTAGGGTTTGTGTTCTGACCAAGAATAGGAAGTTTTCAAAGGGCCAATCAAGTCTCATATGCTTACAAACATGGTCAAGCATCCTCATATCAAGTTTCAAGGCATTCAGCTCAAGATTGCACAGTCAAAACCCTAAATTGCACTACAGTCAACTGTAGGGGCAAAATGGTCATTTGACAGTCAAAAGTTCAAATTTTTGGTCAACATATCATTTTGAAGCCACAAACATCATTTGATCAATGCTTGATCATGATTCTCAAAATTTGGCTCAGAAATCATCAAAGATGCACAAGTTGCTATATTTGGACAGCTGAAAAAGTCAACTGAAATTGACCAGGGCATAACTTTCACATGGATTATCAGAAAAATTCCATCCAAAGCTCATTTT